AAAAAAAAAAAAAAAAAAAGCTTAAATCTATATTCTTTTTATTATTATCATTACTTGTTTGGGGGCACAGCATATAGGATAAATCTACACTTTATTTTTTGAGACAGAGTCTCACTTTATCACCCTCAGTAGAGTACCCTGGCATCATAGCTCACAGGAACCTCAAACTCTTGGGCTTAAGCAATTCTCTTGCCTCAGTCGCCCAAGTAGTTGGGACTGCCATAGTCAGGCACTCACCACAATGCCCGGCTATTTATAGAGACAGGGTCGTGCTCTTGTTCAGACTGGTCTCAAACTAATGAGCTCAGGCAATCCACGCACCTCAGCCTCCCAGAGTGCTAGGATTACAGGCATGAGCCACCACACTTGGCCTAATAAATCTACACTTTAAATTGTCCTCTTCACCTCTCTGCCAAAAAACATTTAGTTGAAGAGGCAAGGCAGGGGGCACTGACAATCCCATCCCTGTCCTGGGAATAGTTCCTGGCATAAAGCAAAATTTATTTCCCTGTGGTTCTGCACCAGCCAGCCTTCTTCTGGACTGGCCACACCACACTGTCAAGTCCTGGGCTCTACCCCTGGGTCCACAGCAACCCCAGCCCCTCCCAAGTGCCCCCACCTGCCCATCCAGGATCCCATCTAAAAGGTACAGGAGTTTCATAAGTGCAGTGAGGGCTTCATCCTGAGCCAGAGATGCACGTAGCCTATGGTATACAAAACAGAGAGACATGTGGACACAAAGTAAATGCACATACAGGCAGATGTGCAGATATCATAAGCACAACATGTCCCTACCCCTCTCCCCAGGTCAGCCCTGCCCACCTGGCCCAGGTTTCTGCCTCCTCTCTTGGTGCTGACTCCTCCTGATAAATGACATCACGGGGCAGAACCAGGGTGGCATCTGGCCCATTGCAGACAGCAGGTGTGGGGTGGAGGTATAGCTGGCCCAGGAGGGAGCTCAGCACTGCTGAAGCCTCAGCCTTGCAAGCAGGATCCCCAGGCAGCACAGGCAGGAGCCTCCCCTCTAGGAAATGGGTGCTGGGGCTCAGTGCAGGGTCCACATCTACAGACAGTTCAGAGTCACAATCACTGCAAGGGGCCAGAAGGTGGAATGCCCAGCCCAGACCTAGGCCACACCAACCTTGCTGTTGGAGGCTCAGCCAGTGAGGGGCTTGGACTGCCCGGACACTCTGAATGGATTCCAGGGCACTGTGGAATGACGTGGAGTGGTGAGGTGAGGCCTGGTCTCCACTTCAGCCCTCTCTGCCCCCTGGGTTCGCACCTCTGACATGGCATCAGAGGCCCCAGCAGGAGTGGGGCAGGGTCCCCAAGCAGTGCCTGCACTGTCATGCACACCGACTCCGCAAGTGACTCCAGGTGGTAGCCGCCCTGAGAGGAAGGCAGTGGTTTCACTATGCAAAGCCTGGCCCCAGGAGGGCCTGTCTGGCTCACTGTCCCAGGCATGGTGGAACTGGGCTCTTATACTCCCAGGGGGTTGGCCCCAAGCTTCTGGCCCATTCATCCTTCCCTGTCACCTCCAGCACTGCACAGACTCGGCCGCCAGCCAGCACCTGGAGCAACTGTGTGAGGTGGGCGAAGCACTCTGGTGTGGCCTGCATCTGGCCCTGGAACCAGAGCCAGGTGTGATGGGGTAAGGCTCAGGACCCCAAAGGCCCTCCCCAGCCAGGCCAGGCTCTCACCTCCGGGTCCCCGATGGCTGAGTCAAATCCAGCAGAGACCAACACCAGCTCAGGGTCAAACTACAGGCCACACCAAGGTAAAGAGGGGAAGAAGGAGAGGGTGCAGGGAAGCTCATCCCTGCCTCCATCCCCACCCACCTGCCTTGGGGTCCCCACCCTCTATGCAGTCACCTCAAAGGCCAGGGGCAGCAGCAGATGCAAGAAGGCAGCCATGTAGTCAGCATTCCCCATCCCAACCTTGTGGAGTGGGAGGGAGGTGGGTCAGTGGGTCAGCTTTGCCAATGGCGACCCTGTAAGGACAGCCCAGGCTACACCCTGGAGGCCCAGAACCATAGGGTGGGGGATCCAGGGGTTCAGCGAGGGCACCTGGTTCCAGGGCAGGTTAACAGTGAAGCCACGGCCCCGTCCCTGCCCAACAGCATCTGCATTTGACTCTCGCAGGAAGGGCCAGAAGCGGCCGTGCTCATATCGATGCCAGGAGAAGTAAAGGACACTGCAGACAATCAGCCAGGGGCAGGGTCAGAGGTCAGGAGTCTCACCAGCTCTGTGGCTCCTTGCAGAACCCCAAGCCCTGAGTGCACAGCTGCATCTGTCCCCTTGGTTTTCCAAGGCCAGGCCCTGCACCCCAAATGTGTATCCCCCAGCTCACCTGGGGTCATCCTCAAAGATGTACTGGATGCCCTGGCCATGATGGATGTCCCAGTCAACAATGAGGATCCTGGGGACAGATAGTGCTGGGGGTCACTAAGGAACCTTCCTCCTCCAGTCAGGAATGGGAAGAGGCTGAGTGGGCTGTTAGCCCTCCCACCCTTTCCTGTCTCCCACCCTTTCTTGTCTGGCCTGGTCCCCCACCCTAGGGTCAGCCCTGCACACACCTGCATAGCCCGTGTTTCTGCTTGGCATGTTCAGCCGCTATAGCTACGTTGTTGAACACACAGAACCCATTGGCAGCTGCCCTCTGGCTGTGATGTCCAGGGGGTCTGCAGGTGAGAATGGAGCATCTCACACATCAGAGTCATCCTGACCTTTCCTGGGGATACCCATGAGGGGGCAGTCATGCCAGAGGGCAGCTCTCACCTCACCAGGGCCAGCCCATTGTGCACAGCTCCTGTGAGCACAGCATCCACCAGCTGCAGCGCAGCCCCTGCAGCCAGTCGGGCACAGTGAAAAGTACTCTGTGGAGATGAGGGTGCAGATGAGCCCCCATGCCAGCTTTCAGGGCACCAATTGCTGGGCAGAATAGGCCAGGCCAGTCCCTGGAACCGATAGGGCAGCAAATGGGGCACAGGGTGCTGTCACATGCATGAGCATTGGACGCAAGTGGATGTTGGCAGGGGTGGCAGCCATGGTTGGCAGCACATTGGTGTGTGGCTTTGTCCCTGGGTGGTGAATGTGTGCAGAGGGTATGCACCGGGTGGAAGTACACAGCATCATACTGTCCAGACAGCTCCTGGAGCTCCTCCTTGCCCAGGACCTGGGTCCCATGAATCAGGGCTATGTACTCTGGGCTGTGGACAGATAGGCAGGAAAGTAGGGTCACTGCAAGCAGGGAGCACCTAGGTTTGGGGCTGGCAGTGCCCTCCCGATTGCTTCTTCAGGTCTTTGAACAATTTGCCACTTTCCTGCCCACCCTCCCAGTGGTGAACTGAGCACTGGCAGGCTGAGGAAGGCCCAGGCTCCCACCCTGCCTGACCTGTGCACCAGCCCCAGTTCTGCCTCTGAGGCCTCTCGGGCTGACAGCTGTAGGCACCTCTGCTCCAGGCCACACTGCCGCAGGCGGTCCAGGGCTGCAGACAGGCGCTGGGGACCCTCTATCTTGCACTCGGGGCTGGGGCAGACAGGGAGTTCAGTATCCAGCACCCCATCCCCATCCCCCCTTGGCCAAGTCACACTTACTCATCCCAGAGCAGCTCATGTCCCATCATGTCCTCATGGTACACGAGTGCAGTCCACATGGCTGGGCCAGGGTCACTTTGGGCTGCTCTAGGACAGCAGGAGCCAAACCCCTGCTGTAAGACTATACCCTGTTCCACGGTGCAGCCTGGAAAGCAGTCCAGCCTGGGACCTGCCTGGGACAGAGCCTGGGAAGGACAACTAGAACCCAGGCAGCTCAGGAGTCTCCAATGCACAGACACTGCAGAGGACCAGGATGGCCCTAAGCTGTACTTCCGGCTTCCTGAAACTTACACGTGGCCCTGCTCCGCCCCCAGCTACAGTGATCCCCTCCCCAAAGCAGGACTGTGACTGGCCAAAGGAGGCCGCCACCTCCCTCCCTCTGCACCCACTGCCTCCACCCTGAGCCAGGGCGTTCCCTGCCCCATAGCAGCTGTGGAGACTGTAGGCAGTGGGGGCAGGGGTGAGGGAGGAGTGTGGCATGCCCAGGCCCTCCTGAGGGCCTGTGGTCCCAGCTGTCTGTACTCCCTGCTGTTCCAAACTTCCCTCCAGCCCACCTTTACTAGACAGGCTTGGGTCAGCCCTGCCAACAGCACCCAGCATCCATCCAATGTGGCCAGGGTTCACCACCAAGGCTGGGGAGGAGCCATTTAAGGATGAGGGAGGCTGAGGGCCACAGGGCCAGAGGCCTCTAGCAGGGAGGCTGGTGATGCTAGGTGGTGGTTGTGGCTTAGCCCCCAAGTTTCTGATAAAGTGACAAGGAAGACCCTTGTCAGGGAGGCAGAGTGTCAGAGGGCCCAGGCAAAGACTAAGATGCTATACAGGAGGCAGCGCAGTGTTGGGAGAGGCAGGGCAGGCCTGAGGGAGGGAAGGGCACAGCCACTGGGCATGATGCCCAAGAAAGGAGGAAACCTGCAGCCTCACCTGGGACCCAGCAGCCCTAGAGCAGCAGCACTGGATGGTCCCCAGGGTGCTACAGAAGAGCTGGCCAGGAGTCCATAGAGAGGCGCAAGAGGCCCTGGGCAGAGAAGGCAGTGTTCATTGTAGCAACTCATTTAACCAATTTTGTCTAGGGCAACTGTGCACATGTCCATCCAAACTCCTAGCTGGAGGAGGGGCCCTGAGCCTGCCCCCTCATTCCCCTATAGCTGCTGTGCCAACAGCCAGGCCCTGCTCTGGGTATACCTGCCCAAGGGAGGCAGAGAGGAGGAAGAGTGGCAGGAGCCTATGTGTGGCCTGAAAGTACTGCCACACTGAGGCCTGCAGAGGGCAGCATAGGCCACTGGGTCTCCCCAGGGGAGCCACAAAGCCACAGGACCAGAGGAGTCTGGAGGTGCACAGCAGCTTGTCCCCCGCCTCCCTCAGGAAGCTCCTGCAAGAATGCAGGGAACTGGGTTCAGACACCATGGCTCACACCTGTAATCCTAGCACTTTGAGAGGCCAAGGATGGTGTATTGCTTGAGCTCAGGAGTTTGAGACCAGTCTAAGAGCAAAACCCCATTTCTAAAAAATAGCCAGGTGTTGTGGCGGGCACCTATAGTCCCAGCTACTTGGGATGCTGAGGCGAAAGAATCACTTGAGCCCACACGTTTGAGGTTGCTGTGAGCTGTGATGCCAGAGTAGTCTACTGAGAAAGACAAAGTGAGACTCTGTCTAAAAAAAAAAAGGGGGG